TTTCAATTTTCAAAACTTAATTTTCTGAAATTATTGCTAACTCTTAAAACCAAGGATCTGTCACAGTTTACCACTACTGGTAAAGAATTACAATTACTGCCAAAATACTAACATTGTGCCAAAAGAAAACAGAGTTTAGTACTATTTTTAAGCATATGATGATGCATTTTACTAGTTCTTATTTTAATCATTTTTAGAATTAAGACAAAAGCAGAAGGCTCATAATGTTACTTCTACTATTTCAAACCAGATGTTAAGCATGTTGAATTCAAATTTAGAGAGGGACTTTGTGGAGTGCCAGCTGCAACTTTGGCAGTAGGATAAATAATTTCTTCAACAGTTACATATGTACCTAACAAGAAACCAACAACTCCAGTGAATGCTATAGAAATATTTTTCAGGATCATCCATATATTGTAATGTTCCTTAGAAAATGTAAGAATTTCAACCAAAGGAGGCAGAATCAGGGCCAATGTGCTGCTGCTCACAGCTCCAACAAAGGAAATCACGATGTCTAAACGAGGAATAAGAATCGCTCCAGCACCTAGAAAATGAAAATACATATTTTTTCTTATTTAAATGTTTGGTACTTACATGAATACTAAAAGCAGATATTTTCAATAGCAAAAGTAATCACTTAAAGTAATTAATGGAAGCTGGACTTCTTAATTATTGCTTGTGGAAAAATCTGCCATACTTTGTTCTGAGCTAAAAAGAGAAAATAAAGAAACCAAAAAAAGAGTGACATATTCTGGACTTTCACTTGTCAACAGAGTTTCTTATGTAAACGACTTTTAATTTTTTGCTGTAAATTCTGGGCAAAGAAGTTTGGGTAGTTTATTTACAAAGCAATTGCATTACTTTGCCTGCCATACAGCTCAACAATGCACAAAACATGGAGTAGTGTGATGTAAATAAATGGGAGAGAAGAGATAGCTATTCCTTACAGTAGAATTCCAATTAATTAAAATAGAAGGAACAATGGAAAGAGAAAATCATTATTAAGCAAATGCCCCAGTTATCACTGGGAAGGCAGAGTCGATGAATGATGCTAATATTTGTGGGCAAAAACTGGATGAGATCAGGATATTTGCATAGTCTTGTAGTATCTCTCTATAAAATACTTATTAATCATAAAGGGAAAAATAGTACCTTTCCAGTGGAGAAATATGTCAGAGACCACCTTAACCAAATGAGTAAAGGTAACATCACCAAAAAGACACTGATAACATGATGTGATATAGAAAGAAGTACACAGCACCATTGCTATGGGATTGTTAAAAAATGTTTAACTTCAATCTAGTTATGAGAAACCATCAGACAAATTCAAATTGAAAGAAATTCTATAAAGTTACTGATACTTCAAAAGTGTTAAGGTCAAGAAAGACAAAGGAAGACAAGGACTCTCAAGATTGGAAGAGAATAATAGACATGACAACTAAATTCAAGTGGGAACTTGGATTATTTCCTGGACCAGAAAGGTTATTAGTAAGAAAACAAGCGAAATTAGAATAAAGTCTATAGATTAGTTAATAGCATGGTATCCATGTCAATTTCCTGGTTTTAATAACTGCATTCTGGTTATGTAAGCTGGTAACACCAGAGGAATTTCAGTAAAGGGTTTACGGCAAATATTTTCTTTTATAACTTTCTGTCTAAATTACTTCAAAATGAAAAGGTTTAAAAACAAATAGTACTCCCCTGTTGTCAACAGATTTTTCTTCCAAACTATTGACAAGTTTTCTGCAAGTTTTGGTCTAGCACTTTCTTGATCTCATATTGATCTTACCTTTGGTTTGCAAAAACCAAAACTCATATTCTCTCTTTAAATTGTACTTAAATGTTTCGTTAAATAATTTGTTGAGGGTTTGGAGTTGCCACCAGAAATAACCCCAGAGTTTGCTCATATGCAAGCTATGACAACCACATCACCACTGCCATCAATGATGATTATAGCACCAAAGTTCCTTCTCTGGGGTCTCCAATTATCAATGTGTTGACTCTCCTTTTCTTCTATAACTATGATTTTCTCTCTAACCCTTGTTATTCTCTCTTTATTTCTAAGTTCATTCCCTTTTGCTTTTCTCTTTGTCTTTCGCTAAACTTTCTGTGAGCAATATGTATGTGTATGTATATACATATTAATATATCAATATATAATATATATATAGTTTAATTTGTCCTCTTTGTAATTCAGTGTTCAGTTTGCAGTATACTAGTTTCTCTACTTCTTAATTTTTAGTTTACAAGGTTTGGGGGATTTTTTTTTGCCTTCCCTTATTCTTTTTGTGGTTCTCAATATTTTCCAGGAAAATGTGGAATCAATTTGGAACTGAGTTCTCACCATGTTTTTCATGGAACCAGAAGTTATTACCATGTTCTATTCAAATTATTATGAAAGCTAAAGCCCTAAAAATTGTTTTGAAATTATAAACCTAGCTTCACACTTAGGGGACTGAAGTGAGATAACCTTTAATTAAATAAACTAACTGATTCTGAAGAAGTTGGAACTCTAAAGTAGAGATACTTTATAAAATAGATTCTCCATTTAATAAACGCTTGTTACATCCTTTTAACATTTCTTTAAGAGTAGACTAGACCAGCAGAATAAACAATTTCAGAGACTGAAGACAACTCTTTTGAAATAACCCAGTCAAAAATAAATAACAAAGAATCAAGAGGAATGAACAAAGCATACAAGAAATATGGCATTATGTAAAATGGCCAAATATGAGAATCATAGGCATCCCTGAGGGTGAAGAAGAACACACACAAGGGCTGGAAAACCTATTTGACGGAAAAATTGAGGAAAACTTCCCTGGTCTTGCTAGAGATTTAGACATCCAGGTACAAAAAGCTCAACAAACACTTGGCAGATTCACCACAAAGAGGCAATCACCAAGACATATAGTCATCAGACTGGCCAAAGTCAACATGAAAGAGGAACTCCTGCGAGCTTTGAGGTGAAAACATCAAGTAACTTACAAAAGAAAACCCATCAGACTAATTGCAGTCTTCTAACCAGAGACTTTACAACCCAGAAGACATTGGGGCCCCATCTTCAGTCTTCTTAAACAGAAAAACTGCCAGCTTAGAATTTTGTCTCCTGTAAAATTAAATTTCAAATATGAAGGAGAAATAAAGACTTTTCCAGACAAGCAAACACTGGGGGAATCTGTCAAGACCAGACCTGCCCTGCTGGAAGTACTGAGAACTACATTACATATGGATCAGCACAATAGACACCTGACAGTATAAAACCACCCAAAAGCTAAAGTTCAAAGCTTATAAAAACAATAGCACAAGAGGGTAAACAAAGCAATAAGGTTCTACTCAACGTGATCAACAGAACAATTGATATGATGAACACATATCAATTCTATCAATAAACGCGAATAGTCTGAATGCCCCATTCAAGAGACATAGGCTGGCCAAATAGATGAAAAAATACAACCCAAATATCTGCTGTCTCCAGGAAACACATCTAACCCACAAGGACTCATATCAACTCAAGGTGAAGGGATGGAAAAAAATATTTCATGCAAAAGGAAACCAGAAGAAAGCAGGTGTAACCATTCTCATATCAGATAACACTGACTTTAAATCAGCAAAGGTAAAGAAAGATAAAGATGGTCATTATATAATGGTAAAAAGACCAAATTAACCAAGAAGACATGACAATCCTAAATATTTATGCATCTAACACAGGAACACCCAGATTCATAAAGGAAATTCTACTAGATCTAACCAAAAAAATAAACAGCAGCATCATAATTGCTGGGGACTTCAACACCCAACTAACAGAGCTGGACAGATCATCCAACCAGAAAATAAAGAAACACTGGAATATAAACAGGCCTAACAGACATTTGGGCCTAGAACAAATGGGCCTAATAGACATTTACAAAACATTCTACCCCAAAACTACTGAACATACATTCTTCTCATCAGTATATGGAACTTTCTCAAGGTTGATCATATCTTGGGCCATCAAACAAGTCTGAACAAATTCAAAAAAACAGAAATCATACCACGTATCTTCTTAGACCACAGTGTAATAAAACTAGAAATCAATTTCAAGAGAATCACTCAAATCTAAAAAAAGTCATAGAAATTAAACAACCTGCCGCTGAATGATTATTGGGTCAATAATGGAATTAAGATGGAAATCAACAGATTCCTGAAACTGACCGACAAAGGGGACACAAACTATCAAAATCAGCAAAGCAGTCCTAAGGGGAAAATTCTCACCCTTAAATGCCTACATCAAAAAGACAGAAAGATTACAAATTAACACTCTAATGAAACATTTCAAGGAACTAGAAAAGGAAGAGGAATCCAAATGCAAAGCCACAGAAGAAAGGAAATAACTAAGGTCAGAGTAGAACTAAACAAAATGGAAAACAAACAAAAAAAATGCAAAAGATCGATGAAACAAAAAGTTGGTTCTTTGAAAAGATAAAGAAAATTGATAGCCCTCTCGCTAGATTAAGCAGGAATAGAAGAGAAAGGACCCAAATAAGCTCAATCAGAAATGAAAAAGGAGATACTACAACTGACACCACAAAAATACAAAATATCATCTTTAAATACTACAAAAATCTCTATGCATATAAACTAGAATATGTAGATGAAATGGACAAACTCCTGGAAACACACAACCTCCCAAGACTCAACCAGGAAGAAACAGAATTTCTGAACAGACCAATAAAGAGTGAGATTGATGTGGTAATAAAAAATCTTCCAACAAAACAAAAAGCTCTCAACCAGATGGATTCACAGCCGAATTTTACCAGACCTACAAAGAAGAACTGGTATCCCTACTGCAGAAATGATTCCATAATATCAAGAAGGAGAGAATCCACCCAACTCATTCTATGAAGCCAGTATCACCTTGATACCAAAGCCAGGAAAGGATACAACAAAAAAAGAAAAGTATAGACCAATATCACTTATGAATATAGATGCAAAAATTCTCAATAAAATACGAGCAAACTGAATTCAACAGCATATCAAAAAAATAATCCGCCATGACCAAGTGGACTTCATCCCAGTGATGTAAGGATGGTTCAACATACATAAATCCTTAAATGTGATTCACTACATAAACAGAAGCAAAAGCAAAGACCATATGATCATGTCAATACATGTAGAAAAAGTATTTGACAAAATCCAGCACCCTCTCATGATAAAAACCCTCAACAAACTAGGCATATAAGGAACATATCTCAAAATGATAATAGCCATATATGACAAACCCACAGCCAACATCATACTGAATGGGGAAAATTGAAAGCATTCCCACTAAGAACTGGAACAGACAAGGGTGCCCACTGTCACCACTTCTATTTAACACAGTACTGGAAGTCCTAGTCAGAGCAATCAGGCAAGAGAAAGAAATTAAGGGTATCCAAATTGGGAAAAAGGAGGTCAAATTATCACTTTTCGCTGACGATAGATCTTGTATCTAGAAACCCTGAAGACTCCACCAAGCGACCCCTGGAATTGATAAATAAATTCAGCAAAGTCTCAGGTTACAAAATCAATGTACATAAATCAGTAGCATTCCTATACGCCAATAACTGTCAAGCAGACAATCAAATCAAAGATTCAATACCATTCACAATAGCTACAAATAAAATAAAATATTTAGGAATATAGTTAACCAAAAAGGTGAAAGATCTCTACAAAGAGCACTGTGAAACACTGAAGAAAGAAATCACAAATGACACAAAATAGAAAAACACATCATGCTCATGGATTGGTAGAATTGACATTGTTAAAATGTCCATACTACCCAAAGTGATTTACAGATTCAATGCAATCCCCGTGAAAATAACAACAGCATATTTAACTTTACTACAAGACTATAGTAACCAAAACAGCATAGTATTGGTACAAAAATGAGACACAGACCAACAGAATAGAACAGAGAACCCAGATATAAAACCATCTACATACATTGGGGAAAAGAAGCACTATTCAATAAATGGTGCTGGGAAAATTGGATAGCCACATGCTGAAGAATGAAACAGGATCCATATCTCTCACCACTCACAAAAATTAATTCGAGAGGGATAAAAGAATTAAATGTAAGGCATGAAATCATGAGAATTCTAGAAAAATATGTAGGAAAAACTCTTCTAGGTATCGGCTTAGGCAAAGAATTTATGACTAAGACCCCAAAGGCAATTACAGCAACAACAAAAATAAATAAATGGTGCCTGATTAAATTAAAAAGCTTCTGCACAGCTAAGGAAATAATCAACACAGCAAATACACAACCTACAGAATGGGAGAAAATATTTGCAAAGTATACATCCAATAAAGGGCTAATATCTAGAATCTATAAAGAATTCAAACAAATCAGCATGAAAAAATCAAGCAACCCAACCCCATTAAAAAGTGGCCAAAAGATATGAACAGAAGCTTTTCTAAACAAGATAGACAAATGGCCAACAAACATGAAAAAATGCTCAGCATCACTAATCATCAGGGAAATGCAAATTAAAACCACAGTAAGGTATCATTTTACCTGTTAGAATGCCTTTTATTAAAAAGTCCAAAAACCATAGATGCTGGCTGGGATGCAGAGAGAAAGGACCGCTTATACAGTGTTGGTAGTACTGCAGATTAGTACAACCTCTATGTGAAACAGCATGGAGATGCCTCAAAGAACTAAAAGTAGACCTACCATTTGATCCAGCAATCACACTACTGGGTATCTACCCAAAGGAAAAGAAGGCATTTTATCAAAAAGACACCTGTACTTAAATGTTTATTGCAGCACAATTCACAATTGCAAAGAGGTGGAATCAACCCAAGTGCACATCAATTCATGAGTAGATTAACAAAATGTGATATATGTATATTACTCAGCCATAACAAAGGATGAATTAATGTCTTTTGCAATAGTTTGGATGGAACTGGAGACTATTATCCTGAGTATCTGAGAATGGAAAAATGAATATCACACGTACTCACTATTAAATTTGAACTAACCAATGAGCACACGTGCACAGAGGGAAATAAAACTCAGTGGAAATCAAACACAGGGGAGCGGAGAGGATGAGAAAGATGAAAACCTACCTAATGGTTACAATGAACACTATCTGGATGATGGACACACTTATAGCCATGACTCAAGCATTACAAAAGTGATCCATGTAACCCAAAACATTTGTCCCCCTTAATATTTTGAAATTAAAAGAATTTTTAAAATGAGTATGAGCTTAGTTACTTCATTCTTCAGTATGATTTCTCTTATTAGTGATATAATCCATTTAAATAATTCAAAAGTAAGTTTTATCTATTTTTTTTAGCTTTGCATTTCTCTTTTCAAACAAAATGTAATGCACCCAATTCTTTAAATCTAGACACAAGCTCCACTTCAGACTGCTCAACGCAATTGACAAACTTGCACAAAATTTCTAGCTCTACCATTCTCTAACCTTGAATGGTACAAGATGGTTATTAATATCTTACACACAGAATTTCCAAAGCTGCCTCTTCCCCAGAAAACCAGTGATCTGGTACATGGTATCATTCTAGGCAATCCTCGGTTAGTACAGTGATGCAGTCATCCTTATATTGTGGTTATAATAATAATAACGGTGACAACAATGATCACAATAACTTCCAGCTACTTTGTTAATATTATTTTTAAATCCCACAAAAATGCCATAAGGAAGTTTTATCTTCATTTCATAATTGAGGAAAGAAAGGCTCAATGATAGTATGCAACTTGCCTAACAACAACAGTAAGTAAGTGGTAAACTTGAGCTTGAATCCCCAGGTCTGTGTGACTCAAAAACTCACACTCTTTCCACTATAGCAACTGAAGCTCCCTCTGTGTAAGCCTCCATTATTAATGCTACCTTGCAAAGGCATTTTCTGATGTGAAACCTTAAAAAGAGATTATGTATACTCCTTTGAATAATAAAAAGAAAATAAGCCACTAAAATTATTAAAGACCAACACAAAATATTATAAAACCCTCTCCCGTAGGTAGTCATGGAGAATTAAACTGTTAAATATAAAAAGTTAGCAGAAATAAAAAAAACTAAGCAAAACTAGAATCAAAATGAAATGTGTTATCTAGGGGGTCCCTTGGATACCTGATTTTAATCACCACTAATGTCATTTTCAAAATAATTTGATTAGTTAAGTGTGATAGGATTTAGTTTGTGTTTTTCTTATGTAGTAGTAGAAAAACAGAATTTTAACCCCAAAAGTATCCCAGCTGGGTGAATAAAATTGTTTTTAAAATACTGAAGAATATACTTTCAGTAGCTTTCACTTTAAGAAATACAGCAATAAAAAATTATTATGATATAAACACACAGTGATACTTACAAGTAATACTAACCAAGAAGGACCTTATCCCAAATTCACAGATTTGCCTCCATTTAGCATGAAATTTGGATGTAACTGCAGGGAGAATGATTTCTGCTGGAACATAGAACTGAATTGAATATGTCACAAAAATGCCAAAGGAATACAGAATTTTCACTGATTGATATAACCTGTTGAAAAAAATTCAAAATTTAGTCATTGTGAATATGAATCTAAAGTTCCTCCTTTTTATTTTTAATGCTAAGATAAATAAGAAATCCAGAGCACAAACTTAAGCCAGGACTTTACTAAATAAAAACGCTTCCTTGTAAAAAAAAAAGCCAACTGATCTCCACTACCTAAATTTCTAGATGATATATGGACAATTCATTTTGACAAGCCTGGAAGGCTTGAACATGGCTCGCCAATGTTTGAGGCATATTGTTGGAAAGATTTCATTTTGGGATAAGCCAACATTCTGAAGGTTAGACTCAGCCCGTATAGAGCTAATGATTTCTCACCTTTCTTTTAAAAAATTGAGCATATTGTATGTCTTTAAAATCTTGAGTCAAACCCCCATTGATCTGTATATAGAAGAGAAACTCATATTAAATTCTAAATTATAGTTCTCCTTGGTTGAAAATGTTGGTAGGTTATATCATTAGTTACAGAAATGTCATTGTCTTAAGTCTAAAATGAGGACATCTAAATGGTTTCAACTTGCAAAGTTCTCTAAATTATACATACTACCTATATTAAAATAGAGTTGTGGAGTTAGGTAGCTGTTGGTTTTTTCCAATTTTCAGCAATTTTCAGTTTTATAAATATCTTTATATGTCTACATTGTACATAGCCTCCTGTCAAAACTTAGCATGCATGTCTTGATAAGGACTTCAGCATTTTCTTATGTCTGGCAGAAGAAGACTTTTTAAATGTTGATAATGACATGGAGAGAAAATGTAGAATTTTCTACATTTCTACATTTTCTACATTCCTTCTTCCTACCAGAGGAAGGAACATTACCGAGAACCCACTCTCTTGGGTTGAAGATAATAAAATGTATTGTATTTTAAAAAAACATTCAAATATTTTATAACAATCAAAAGAAAAACCCAATCACTCTTGTATTTTTTAAGAAACAAACTAGAAAGGCGACTGCAAATCAAATGCACCACGGTATTAGGGGCGGTGATAAACACATGTCCTCTTTCAGTAGAAATGTCATCAATAGCCACAATCTTCCCCCATCCCACCTAAGAATCCTAAGCACAGGGAAGGGCATTTTCTTTCTTAGGAAAAAATGCAATCATTTTAAAAGGATATAAAGTAGTCTTTTCAGTAAAGAAAAACTTCAACATTATTTAGGCTTTAAGCTTATTTCTGATGTCTTAAGACTTAAAGTAGTAAGGATTATAAACAGTTCACTTGACTTGCCAAGCAAGAAGAAATTCAGTTAAGTCTTCTGCTATAACATATTTATCATACAGTAAGAGGAAATAAAAAAGCAGAGTAAAAAGAGATTCAAAAATACATAGCATCATTAGGAAAGAAGGAACTCCTTAAGGCTAGCAACAATAAAATCTTAATTTTAAAATTTGCTAAGAATGTTATTTCTCAGCTTGAGACTTAAAAGTTAAACATATGGTCAAATTACTGAAAATATGTGAAACAACTGAAAGACGCCTGTTTCATATACTCTGATATATGAGAGTGGAGAATTAAATAAATATTCTTATTAGTTTATTATTAGTTTAAAAGAAGAACATTCCTTTTTTCTATTTTCATTTATATGTTTTTAAAATATGGTTAATAATATATAAAAACAAATCTACAACATTTTGCATATAAGTAAAATTACTTTTTATTGAGATAAAACTAAAGTTACATAGGCTAAGAATTAAATATTAATTAAATTAATATTAATGATCAAAAATGGGTATGGATAATTCTTAGAAACTACATTGAATATAACAAATATTAATAATACTTTAAAGAATAAAATGATTCATGCCTGAAAACAAAATCTATTACACTGATAGATACCAATAGTAAAGAAATTTAATATCTTTAAGTAAAGGACAGAAATGTATTTTTTCATAATTGTTTTTCAGTCGATCTTTGGAATCAGATTATGGCAAAAAAACAAATTAAAGTTCAGGTGAAAACATTAGTTTTAAAAACACAGGATTTCTATATTTGCGATGCTTTTATTATTTTTCCCATATTTGCTAACAAATCAATACTTGACCTAAATTTTTAGGTATGAATATCTTAAAATTTTTTAAAAACCAACTTGAGAAATAAGTTGTTGACTGATTCTCTTTCTCTCAAGGTTGAATACAGAAGCTACCCTTGTAAATAACCTGAAAACTCACTTTCCCTTTTGGACCCTTTCTGATACTCAGGTTGAGAATCTTGAGGGTTTAGCTCTGTCAAGAAGTCATCATAATTGAGGACTAGCTCCAATCCTTACCAAGAGCCTCACCTCATTCTTAGCTAAAAAAAATAAGACAATTGTGGTTATCTAGCATTCATAACTAAGTTAAATGCCTTGAACCAATAAACTTCTGTAGAATGTTCACTAGAATGTAAGCATTATAATAAAAAAATTTATATCTGTTTGCTGCTATATCTCTAGAGCTTGGAACAGTACTTGGGACATAAAAAATGCACAAAAAATATCTGATGGATAAATTAATGACTTGGTAGATGGCCTTCATTCTGAATTATAACAGTCATTCCGATGAGGATAGGCAGAGGCAGTTTGGGCTGGATCTCTAGTGATAGGCAACTTTAATATTAGATTATTAAGAAATTGCAAGGGAGAGGACAGAGCGAACAGTCCAAGATATATCAATCTTCTTTTTTAAGTTTCTTTACATTTATTTATTTGTTATACCTCTTGGTAAATCCATTCATGCCTAAATAGTTCCATGATAGGTAACAACCTCCTCAGAGTTCAACCCTTGATAACCAGTAGGATCAATTAAGACACAGCTTGATTACCTGCCACTACTCAACTTTATTTCCCAGAATATTCAGGTTTCTATTGCCCCTGTGTGCTCCAAACATAGGCTCAAACTTGGGTTTTGTTCTTTTTTTAAAAAAAATAAGGTCCCAGTACAAGTATCTTAATAAATTATAAAATGCCTGCCTACTTACCCCTTCCCTGTTCCTATTTTTTAATTGATTTTTTCCTACCCAATGCACGTTTCACACAAAATCACACATGAGACAACAGAAGTCACCATGCTGCTGCTCAGTGTTTTTAGTATAAAACCTAATACCCTCGATATTTCTTAGTAAAAGTGCTATGTGTACTGATTTAATGACTAACATGTGAATTTATTCCAGGCTTTTATTTTCGAACTCTAAGTCATGACCCATTAGTGAGTTATGATATCAATTTAGCAGGTTGTGAGCCATTTTTTCTAATGATATAAAGTAGAATAGAAATTATCAGGGGACACTGCATGTAGAAAAACTGATGGTTTTTATTTAAGCTTTCATTTATTTCCGTTATTTATATGTGTGTGGGAAGTATGCACATACAGATACTCACGCACATACGGATACATATACACTGTGTTTTTCTATAAAACACATTTCCCTTTCTTACCTTGAGTTACAGTTCAAAAGTTAAAAAGCTACGAATTGAAACCAAATAAGCAGGCACTGTAACTGTGAGGGGAAAAAGGTGAAGACTTTTTGTTTTTGACTGGTTAAAAAAGATCCACAACACAAAAATGAACAAATGAAACTAATAACAGAAAGAAAGATGTTTGTTCCTATGATGTGTATATGATCACCCAAGAGGACTCAATAAGACAGAACACAGATAAATACTATTTACTATGTTAAGACCTCTGGAGAACTTTGTTATATCATTAGTTGACAACCAATGATTACCCTAGAGCAGCAGTCCCCAACTTTTTGGCACAAGGGACTGGTTTTGTGGAAGACAATTTTTCCACGGACGGTGTGGGGAGGGTGCGTGGATGAGGGAATGCTTTGGGGATGATTCAAGCACATTACATTTACTGTGCAGTCAAACCTCTCTGCTAATGATAATGTGTATTTGCAGCTGCTCCCCGGCACTAGCAACACTGCCTCAGCTCCACCTCAGATCATCATGCATTAGATTCTCATAACGAGCACACAACCTAGATCCCACACATGCGCAGTTCACAGTAGCATTTGCACTCCTATGAGACTCTAATGCCTCCACTGATCTGACAGGAGGTGGAGCTTATGCGGTGATGCAAGCGATGGGGAGTGGCTGTAAATACAGATGGAGCTTCGCTGGTTCACACACTGCTCACCTCCTGCTGTGCAGCCAGGTTCCTAATAGGCCATGGACTGGTACGTGGACTGGTACTGGGGGTGGGGGACGGCAGACCTAGAGTCTCCAGATCTTCAACTTTCCCTTGCAACAATGACATTAAGCTAAAAACCTTCCTAATCTTCTGTTTTGAATTTGATAAATTAAAAATCTGATAAATTAGAGGCGTTAGAGAGAGGTAATTTAAACACAACCACCTAGAAGATTTTACAGTCATGTGGCATTCACTCCCAAGCACAAGTTCAAAAGACAATACTCTACATAGTCTCTGCTGCTAGTCTGCCTGAGTCCACATTTCCATTTTTTTCTTCAGATCAATCTCAAGCAACCTTTTCCTAAGGAGATTCTATAAATTAAAGTAATACTTAGTAACATGGCAAAACCTGAAACCATTTGTGTGAAAGAACAGAATCTATATAAAGTAATATGAAAAATTCTTCAAATCAATCTTGATGGAAAGGAGCATCATTTTATGATCTGTGATATTATTACCATTATGATTTTATTTGCATATATTTTTGAAATTCAGTATTAAACAGGTTCATTATTTCCTCTTGGTTATTTTCCTTGCAACTGTACTGACTCTGTGCTTCTAACTTGGAGTACATATTCCCCTCTGCGGTGTGGCAGTGTGCGAGGGGTTCTCAAAGCTATCGGCGAAACATAGTGGATCTTTCTGAACCACAAATTTTACTCGAAAGTTTTTTCGGGTGTGGGAATTATTTTTACATAAAAGGCAACATAGATATTATAAACTAGAATGCAAAAGGTGCACTTTTTTTAATAGAGCATAAACTGATGCTATGCATGAGGCAGGCCATTTGGGGTACTGCCCCCAAGACTCCCAAAGGAAAGCTTTTTTCTCTCCTCTGTTCTTTGGGTTACTTTAGTGGAAAACTTGGAAAAACACTGCTAAAACATCATTTGACTATGACTAGTAATGGTGCCTTGGTAATAAGAGAAATGCTTTTAAACCTAGAATAGTATTTAACAAATATTTACTAAGTGCCTCCTAATTGTTAAGCATTGTGCTAGATTATGGGGAGGGACCATAAACCTAGAAGATGCAGGGTCTTGTCCTCAGTGTGCTAAAGTTCTAGCTCAGAGTGGTGAGTTTACTTCCTTATCATCTTTAAAATATATTCTTTACTTCAAAAGCTAAATGTAATACATGAACAGTATTACTCATAACTAGATTTTAAAGATGATGCCTCATAAAGAGTGAAGGTAATAATTAATAACTTGGAGCTTCTCTAATCCATATTTTATCCTAGGGCCTCTTTCTAACTCAATCTTTTCTTACAGAAATAAGCCTAAGAATTCTGAGACTTTAAGTCAAGTTGGCACCAAAAGCCCTTTATAGCTTTTCATAGCTAGTAGCCATCACTTCCCTAGGGTGTTCTTGGGACATACCCAGCCGATAGAGTACACCGCACACCAAGGCCTCTCATGTGAAGCACAGGAAAAAAGGGAAGAAGAGACTCTCATATATTAAGAAAGGAATCTTAGGCATAATCTATGATTATTCTAGTCCAAAATTCTCATTTTATAGACGACTATAACTATAAAACTATAGGCAACTCTCCTCCTGTGTCTCTCAGTCATGACTACTATTTTAACTGTCCCACAACTGCAGAGACCACAAAGAGACTACAGGCCACAGAAGGCCAATCTCCACAATGATAAGCAATTAACCAACAGAGGTTCTCTAAAGGGAAATATTTATCTTGATTTGCTTTCCTGTTTTTTCCATATTTTGGTTGTTTCTTAGGATATTTGTTCTAGGCTTTCCTCTAATGAAAAGCAGGTGTCCAGTCAGACTTTCTTGAACAGAAACTATGATCTAATAGTCCTTTTTGAAATCAAAAGTTGGAACTAGTTCCATTCTCGCTGGAGAGCCACAGCAATTAGGAATAAGGTGAGAAGTGGGAGGGGCTGTGGGGAAAAGGAAGGTTAATTAGAGCTACTGCGGGGACAGTGTCACCCCCAAGACTGAGTTGTGAACACCGAAAGCATTCCCTCTTATTCTTGCCACTGTTCCTTCACCGTGTTCTTAACTGTCTAGGGTGAGAATCTCTTAACTTGAATGCACGCGTGCTCCCACTTTAGGCCTTTTCCCCATAAGATATTCCTTAAATGCTTTTGTAAATTCTGAGAATGTTTCCACCTACATTTTATATTTGACATTAAAAATACTTGTCAAATTTATTTATAAAATTATTAGTTTTAAAATTTAATCTAAATATTATTCTAAGTGGAGAAAAATACCATTCTATTTTCCAGACATTATACAGTATTTGAAAAGATGAACTATACTATCATATTTTTTAGGCTTGATTCTCTTATACTGTTTAAGCTTCTATTCATTAAGCTTCTAGTTTCATATTATAAAAAAGAAAGAAAAGCCCATGTGAAGGAAACAAAATTATATAACCAACTATAACATGGGTTAATGAAATAAATGCCAAACATGTATCTTGTTTGTAGTCATGACTCCATCTTAAAACATATTTATAACACCTGAAACATGTTTCCATCTTGAAATACATTTATAAAATGTTAGCTAAAGTAAAATTATCATTAAAAATATATACATACACACAACATATGTGTGCCCCTTGTGCAATCTGGAAACTATCCTAGGCATATTCACTCTGTCATAAATGGCTTCCTACATACATTTGTCCTAACAACATTTATGACCCCAATAAATGCCCAAGATTCAAATGATTATTAAAAGGTAGACAAATTCTCATCAGGAAGCCAGTCAGAAGATATGGTTTCTGCTGCTGTTGGTTTTCCCTAGTACTGGGAGACATTTAAGGTTTCACAGGCTACTATCCAAGGAGCTAACAGAGTAGTGTAACATTAATTCAATCAGCAATTAGCATTTATTCTTTGTATTTATCAAAACTAAGGAGTTACCTTCCATTTTATAAATAAGGAAGTCTGCATGGTAATCACTGCCAATATCTTTTAAAAATTTCCAAAGACCAACCTCTGAAAGAAGGAAAAATCATATATATTGCTTCATTTAGCAAAATATGGTTCTAATATAAAGAGAACATTAAGATGTGCCATTTTATTTTATTATTTACAATGTGTCCCAACTGTGTTCTGAAAGTACTTGGAGAACATACAATATAAACCTGACCAGTAAAATAGTGAGGACCATAATGATGGGAATATTATTTTATCAGGAACCCAGTGTTTGGTTTTTTGGCAGTAAGGACAGGTATTAAGATTTTTTTTAATTAAAGAGAGTCCATATTAAAAATAATCCATGTTTTACTCTTACATTTGATTCAAATCTGGAACAACCTACAATTTTTAAATATTTTGTTTAAAAATCCCACAAGGATCCTAAATTCGAATATGGTCTGCTCTGGGGATTATGAAAAAATTCTATATTACACAAATAAAGAAATCACAGTAAAAATTTTAAACATTTAAACCATAAATCCAAAACCATACCTCTATTATCAAATATTGGTAAATTATATCTATAAAATATATAAACTAGGATTAAAAAACTCATATCCACCTACCATATATCTTGGGGAAGATTTAAAGTTATGCTCCCTTTGATTTCATCACGGAAACACATATATCCTAAAGTAGCTAATGTTACATACAAAGTCGTAACAATTCCCATGCCAATATTCAGGGCTTGGGGGAAGCGTTTTGATTCTTTCATTTGGTTTTCCAGTGGAAGGACCTAAGAAAAGAATACAATTCTTTTTAAAAAAGGGAATACAATACAAGTAATGCAAAATAAGATAGCGTCTTTTACACATACAAATTGGTCTTTTTATAGTCTATGTTCAAATCGTTTTTCCTTTAAAACAACACATATAATTGTTGATGTATATTTCTGTGACTATATATTTTTTATACTACCTTTTTTTTTTTTTTTTTTTTGAAACAGAGTCTCACTCTCTTGCCTGGGCTAGAGTGCCGTGGCATCAGCCTAGCTCACAGCAACCTCAAACTCCTGGGCTCAAGCGATCCTCCTGCCTCAGCCTCCTGGGTAGCTGGGACTACAGGCACGTGTCACCATGCCCAGCTAATTTTTTCTATTTTTAGTTGTTTGGCTACTTTCTTTCTATTTTTAGTAGAGACAGGGTTTCACTATTACTCAGGCTGGTCTCAAACTCCTGAGCTCAAGCAATCCTCCCGTCTCGGCTTCCCAGAGTGCTAGGATTACAGGCATGAACCATCGCGCCCGGCCTACACTACATATATTTTAATTTTTAAAATAAAAAGGCAAACCTGTCAGTATTTTTCTTAAATAATCTTTTTATTTTGGAAAAATTTTGGATTTACAGAAAAGTTGCAAAGATAACACAGAGAGCTCTCATATACCCCTGACCCAATTTCCCCTACTATATTTTACATTACCATGGTACGCTTGTTACAACTAAGAACCAACACTGGTACATTACTATTAACTAAACTCCAAACTTCATATGGATTTCATTAGTTTTTCCATTAATGTCCTTTTTCTATTCCAGGGTTTCATCCAGGATACCACACTGCATGTTGTCACCATGCCTCCTAGTCTCCTCTGGTCTGGGACAGTTTCTCAGTCTTTGCATGTCGTTCATTATCCTGACAATTGAGGAGTACTGGTTAGGTATTTTGCATAATGTTCCTCTATTGTCTGATGTTTTCCTTGTGACTGGATTGGGATTGTAAATTTTAGAAAAGGATGCCATAGAGGTGAAATGCCCCTTTCATCATATGTGTTATTAACATGATTTGTCACTGGTGAAGTTAATTTTGATCACTTGGTTAAGGTAGTATTTGCCAGATCTCTCTGCCATAAAGCTACTTTTCTTCCCTCTAATTATACTCTGTTTATTGAAAGTAGACTCTAAATTCAGCCCATTCTCCAGAGACCAGGGAGGGATTAGCTATACCTCCTGGAGGGAGGAGTATCTACATAAATTATTTAGGATTTTCCCCTATGTATATATTTATTTAATCAATTATTTGTATTAGTATGAACTCATGTATATTTGTTTTATACATTGAGTTATAATCAATATTCTGTTATTTATTTTGTGACTCATATTGTTCCAGCTTAGGCCACTATGAATTCTATCAGGTTGGCTCTTGTGTCCCTTTGACATGCCTCCATTCTTTTGTTTTTCGAATACTTCCTTACTTTCTGGCACCACAAGATGCTCCAGACTCATCTTGAATTTCCTTGCTTCGGCCCTAAAATCAGCCATTTCTCCAAAGAACTTTGGTTCTTTTGTTGAAGAACGGTATTTAGAAATCTAGATCTGGGTGGTGGGCGTGCTTGTTGCTACTGTAGTATCACTGCTTGCAGGCCCTCTCAGGTGACAGAGCTGGAAATACATGCATGTATATACACATATCTATAACTGTTTCTGTATCTACCCACTTGTATCTACTGTTTGTCAATTTTAGTAAAACAAATAATTTTTATTTTGTTAAAAAGAGAACCTTTAAAGAAAATGAAAAAAGATGATTGAAAAATCAAGTCTTTTAGGAAAATCTTCAGAGGTTTTTGCCATACAATTTGGCCATACAGTGAAAGACGCTAAGTAATAATAGCAAGTATTTTACTGAGCATTTACAATATGCCAGTTATTAGTCTAAAAACTTTGCATGCAGCATCTTGTAGTCTTCACAATAACTCTATGAGATGATGACTCTAATATTTTCCCCACTTTTCATGTAAGTCAATTCCATATGGAAACATTAAACGTTTATAGTAGAAAAGAGAGCAGAGAACAGTTTGGATGCTCTGGAGATAATCCAGACCTAAAATATCATGCAGTCATCAAGAATGGTGCCCGTGCAGCTTGAAAAGGAGAAAGGGAAGGAAATTAACATTTCCTTGGGCTTCCTCTGTATCATACTGCATTAGAGGTGTTTTACATATAATCTCCTTTATGAAACAGATTTGAGAAATATAAAACAAGAATCAATATGCCTTAATTACTGATTGATAGTAGAGAACCAAGGACAGGGTAAATAGAATTACTCCAAGGTTTCAAGCTTAAGCAACTGAAAGTAAAACTAAAAGAAAAAGCGAAATGAGAAAGTAAAGCTTGTTTTAGGTAAGGAAGTATGTGTCAGACTTTGGAGCTGTTGAAATCTGAGATGTCAGAGAAACAACGCTTAACTGGAAATGTCCAAGAGTTAACTAGAGCTCACCAGTTGAAGAGAAATTAAAATCTACAGTTATGTTTGCAACAGTGATAACTGGAGTTGTGAAAATTTGTAAGAATTCATGAGAATTCTCTAAAAGAGAATTAAGAAAGAGCAGAAACCCAATTAAATTGGCATAAAATGTTCTTTTAGATCTATTTTGTCTGTGGAACACATACACAAATGTTTACAAGTGGTCTGCTCCCATACCAAACCATCGGACAATGAAACATAAGCCATGGAACAAAGTAGAGAGCAATATTCTATTTTTGCCGAATCTACAAATTCTAGGTTTTAAATGAAATGGGAGCATCTTGAATGGAAATATTTAAGATCTTACAATCCTCAGGATGCTTGTGTCTTTTGGTATTAGCTTTATGATAACATTGTTTCTCAAAACAAACCTGATGTGAATAAATCTAAAGGAAGAATTTATATTTGACTCTTCTTATGTAACAGTAACTGTATAACTCAGCAGTCCCCAACCTTTTTGGCACCAGGGACTGGTTTCATGGAAGACAATTTTTCCACAGACCAAGGTGGGAGGGATGGTTTCAGGATGATTCAAGTACATTGCATTTATTGTGCAGTCAAACCTCTCTGCTAATGATAATCTGTATTTGCAGCTCCTCCCCAGTGCTAGCATCACCACCTCAGTTCCACATTAGATCATCAGGCATTAGATTCTCATAAGAAGCGCTCAACCTAGATCCCTCACATGTACAGCTTACAGTAGGGTTCGTGCTCCTCTGAGTATCTAATGCCACTGCTGATCTGACAGGAGGTGGAGCTTATGCGGTGATATGAGCAATGGGGAGTGGCTGTAAATACAGATAAAGCTTCGGTCACTCACTGCTGCTCACCTCCTGCTGTGTGGCCCGGTTCTGTGGCCCCAAGACTGGGATACTGCTAGTATAACTACGTCAATTCCCTTCAAATAATCTAGTCTATAAAATATGATGTTTGGGATGTACTTGAGTATGTAGGATATAGATAAAACAAAATTGGCCGTGATTGAATTATTTTTGAAGCTGAGTGATGTACTACCTAGGAGTTCATTATACTACTATCTAAATTTTGTATATGTTTAAAATTTCCCATAATAAAATATTAAAATTAAAAATTATCTAGTCTAATATCCTCATTTTAAAGATACAGAAAAAGAGAATTAGAGAGCTTAAGTGATACAGTTAGTGGAAGAACTAAACTATAATTCAAGTCTATCATACCAAACTGGAAACTATGTTCTATGAATAAACAAAATAGAAAAAAAAAGAAAAACATGCATTTTTTATTTAGCTTAATTATATAAATATTTGTGTTGATTTAATATTTTAAAAATTAATAATAAAGACTAAATTCTTACCACTCCTATGCCTTCAAAAGCAAATACGGCAGTACCAAAAAAGAGTGGGTATTTCTTCCAACCAGCCACTATTGGAAGGTTGTGGGGATCTGGCATGTTCTGAAGAAAGGTAGAAAAAAAATAACACAGATTACATCTTTACTTATTCTAAAGAATTTTAAATGAAAGAGAAAAATCATATACTTTTGAGCTTCACAACAGCAAATATAAGTTATAAAAGTGAGTAATTCTTTCAATAAACATTTTAAGCAACCTGTTAAATGTAGCCAAGCTGTTAGGATTTCGCTGCCAAAAGCAATTGTTTCCCTCATGCCCAGACATTTCATCTGAGCAAACTACTCCTGATTACCTGTTTCCACGTGCAAGTCCCAGGCTGTGCACACTAGGTATGGTTCCTGCCACAACAGGAAATACATAAGCATACTCACGGTCTGAGCTGAGAGCCGTATAGTCAGTTATCAATCACTGCTACTGGTGTCCAAAAGAAATTTACTCTCTATTCTATTTTATTGCTCTTTCAGTTGTCTAAGATACTCGACTCCTGACTTTTGCTTTCTACCTCATAGCTCTGCTGCTCCCGAGAACAGGTATTCTTCTGGTTTCAGTGTTCACTCTTTGACCGGAGAGTTGTCATCACCCTCGTTGTGTGTGTTGTGTGTGTGTGTGTATATCTCCCAACTCTGGCTTTGATTATTTGGTCCTGACTCACAGCTTTGCTCCAACTCTCACTATTTGGACAAACTATACATCTTTTACAAGATCTCTGGCTCTACAATGGCCACTTCCACAAAGTCTGGTCCCTGCTCTCCTCGCCACCCTGCGTTCTCTGTCTTACCTGATTAGGAGCAGAATTCAAGCCAAGTAAAGGATGAACAAAGCAACCGAAGTGTGAAAGTACACTGATAATTTGGGGAACAGAGAGGTCTAGAACATCTGAAGCATAGGTAGACTTGTGTGATATAATTGTGATACATGACCAAAAACATAAGCTAGGTTCAGAATGGAAAGGGTATTAAAATGTTTGGATCATTGGATAATACTAAACTATTATTCAAGGCAAGCAGGATGCTATTTCATTTCTCCATGCATTAGCTAATGCTGTTTCCTCTACCCAGGGAACCTCATTTTCTGCTCCACTAACTCTTACATGTTCATCTAAGAGGTCATGGAAAGCCTTATATGAGCTTCCTGTCGGTTCACTTTCACTCATGTGTTATGATAGAGATTTGAAATTCAGAGAGGAGGGGAAATGAAACACAGACCCATCACAAAAGTTTGTAATGAATTGCTAATGGAGGTATTACAACAATTACTTGGAAGCAAGGTCACTGCCTCTTTCAAAGATGAAAGCTATACAGCTGCTCAGCAGAAAAACACATACATAAATATAGAAACACTAAATCTTACAAACAATTCTGAGGGACTTGCAGACTCCCTGGATCCCATCAACAGATTCTTTTAAGCAAACTGAGTTAAGAATCCCCAGACTAGACTATGGACAATGAAATCAGTTGAGGTTACTGCATATACTTCAGATAAAGGGATTACAGATTAGTGTAGTGGCAGAGAGAAAATTACAGGATTACATCTATACACCCATCTCTTGTGGTTGGTTCAAATTTTAAAGGAATAAACAATACACTTAATGATTTGTTTGTTGCACTGTACTAAAAGCACAATCCTAAATCTCTTGGGTAGGTATTACTATTTTCTGAAGCACTGTCACAAAGCCCAGCAGCATATTTACCAAGATTCAAAACCAAATCTGACCACAAAGCCTGTGGTTTTAATCTCTATGTCACATACTTTCCTAATTCAACAGTATGCCTCAAAAGGTAATTAACACTTACTGATTGTCTACTGTGTGCCACATATATAAAGTAGGGATCTTTACATAGCATTACTTTTACCTCCAAAGCAAACAAAAATTTTACTTATATAACAAACGCATGACATTTAGTTAAAAACATGTTATACTTACCCTAACAACATATTGGTAAATTATCACAAGACTAACAGCCATGGAGATGTTGGCAAGGAATGAAAGTACAAATAGATTCTTTAGCTCACGAATGAAGACCAAAAGAATTATAAATGGAAGAAAACAAAGCATATATATCCTTAGGTCAACACTTCTTCTCTCACATGGATTCGATGAATTGGTATTATTCGACATAAATACTTTACTCTCCAGGAATCCTTCATGAACCTAGACAGGATTACCAGGAGAATAAGGAAGGGGAGAAAACTTCCATCAACTTTTAATCATAAAAGAGACAGAAAGAAAATTATCATCTATACACTCTATGATACATTCCTATCATGCACTTTACAATACATAAAATATTTGCAGTTTTTCAAGATATTCTGCCTTCCTAGAAACATATATATGAAACATAAGGATAATCAAAGTAGGATAATCTTCTTTGCATGATAACTTCTATCATACTGTGAAAATAAAGTTCATTAAAAATTATGAGGCTGGATTTACTAATTTATTTTGCAGCTCTGTGAATATCATACTCATGATCTCTGCAAAGACTCAAAGATCTCATTTTTTAGAACAAGCGTGGGATCATACTTGTCTATAATGGCCACTGGGTATTCTACTCCAGCTTATTTTCTTCAGATAGGAAACAAACTCTAAGTACCTCTCAGAAATGCAGAATAATCAGAGTAAAATTTAATAATCATAGCCTAACTTTAAAACTTTTATAAAGCTATTATTTACAAATTATCATTGTCAATAGATATTCATTAAGAACCTACTACATTCATTCATGGCCATATGCTCAATGGTAGATAAATTTTTGCTGGAGCAAAAATCTTCTACAAGATAAATAAACTTTATGTGAAAACTTATTCAGTCACTTCTATAACCCATTTTTCAAGAAATACAATGATTTACGGGCTCCATATATTAAAATCTGTTTCTGATGCAGTTAATCACATAATCCAACTTATTAAAATAGACACAAAATTACAAATAACTTTAGAAACAATCTTAAAAACTTACAATAAGGGCAGATCATACCACAACTTGAATACCAGTGACAAGTTATTTGCCCCCAAACATGGTGTACCCTTCTTCAAACACACTGATATTATCAAAGTCTGTGGATACACACATTCTTAAGTACTTTGAGTATTTTCTATGGATCAGGTATGGAACTACATGGTTTATAGATATAACATCTCATTTAATCCTCAAACTTACTCTCTAAAGTGGGTAGTATAATAGTATCAATTTCAATTTATATCTGAGGAAACTGAGGCTTAGAGAGGTTGGAAAGAACCCTGCATAACATCAAGCTAGTAAGTGATGGTTCTAAGATTCAAACTCAGGCCTAGGACTCCAGCATATAACAGCTATATGTCAACCTGACCAAAATACTGCAACCCAGAAAAGGTGGCCCTGACCAAGCTGCCACCTGGCCTCCACTCAGACATATCTCTCTCTAAATTCAGCAAGTAGTAAGAAGCCAACAGAAGTTTAAAAAAGAATTCTGATATGATTAATTCAAGTGTTTCTTTTAAATTAATTTTATATTTATAATCCATGATAAGCAATGTTTAATGTCACTACAAATGTACACATTATCTCAGACTGCAGAGAATGTATCTATTAGATTTTTATGCTATAAGGCAATTTAAAACTCATACTGGACTAATAAACTCTCAAGTTACACCACGTACCATTTAAGAAATGCATAGCTCACAATTATCTTCTAACTGGCTATCAGAACTTTATACATTATTTTCTATAATTTGAAATAAAAGCAAATTTGGTAATTTACATTACTTTTTCATGAATGTATTTCATTTTTGACTTAATTTTCTAGTAACTAAATTATTTAGAGTCAAGTACTTCTTATCAAAGCAGTACCTCCAAAAATTAGATTAAGTAATGTTCAAAGTTAAGCTCTAATAAGGATGTCTGGCAAGAGAAAAGCAGTTATATAGCCAATTTTAAAAACGGCTGTTTGAATTATTACTAGGTGCTTGGGAATTTAAAATTAATTCTAAACAAATCTCTTATAATATTTTAGCATTTTTGGCAGAAATATGGTCATAAAAATTCTCAGGATTAAAAAATAAAATAAAATAAAAATGTAGATACATACCTAGAGCAAGATTCAGGTAAACATTTGAGTCCTTTGGTGCCCTCTAGAGACAGAGATTGACTATCTAATAGGACTTCCTATGATCTCACATGTTTACCAAAATGTAAAACACTGAAATAAATATTATAAAATAAAATTACTAAATTCAGTTGTTCCCATTTTGAGCTCAAATTTACTAAAACCCACTACTTATTAACTTTTCAATGATTCAGCAATTTAATGGTTAAACTTCCAAAGGCAGCTTATATTCTTTAGTAAAGCTAAATGCAGAATTAAAGTCATAATACCCCACATTTGTATACTGTTTTACATTTTACAAAGGCTTTCATAAACCTTTTGTTAGCTGAGCCTCACAGTAAGTTTATGAGAAACAAGGGGAGATTTTGTTACTACTCCCATTTTTATAAATAAGGAAACTGAGACTTGACCAGGGATAGGGAATCTTGTCCCAAGTGTGAGTTCAAACTGTGAAAGCAGAGATTTGAACTCCTATCTTCTGACTCTGAAGTCAATGGTATTTGGTATCATTATATTTTTCCCTCTTAATATAATCCTGTATTCCTTCCCCACTCTCCATGCCCATATACACTATTTTATCGATCTGAAATTTTCTAGAGTATCTTAGAGTAAAAACAGAGAGGAGCAACTATAACCACAATGGACCAGAATCATCAGAAGCACTAGGATTCTTTTCCCTACTGATTGTATAATACATACTGGCTTAATGAAATCACGTGGCAGTTACAAAGCAGGCTTCTACATTTGTGCGGCAACTAAACCCTTAATTCTTTGGGTTAACCAAATACCGTACCTTCAATTTCATGTAAATTAAGGGGGTAACAATTCCACGGTTTTTAACTATAATAGCAGTAATAACTGGTAAGGTTTAATCAGTGTGTCTACTATTGTACACTGCTATCAAATGTAAAAGAACACCTTTGTTGAGAAAGTGAAAATCTCTGACCTCATGCTGCTTCAGTGATCACCTCAACTATTTTCTCAAGCCTAACTGTGTATCTTTTTTCTATGTTACTCTTTATACCTGAAAAGGATTTTCACCTTCTATTTACAGCAGGCATTCTCCTTATCTCCCAGAGAATTACTTTTTCTATCTGGTCTTCTTAGGATATGAGCTTAACTTTTCCATTCAACTTTGGAAGCAACTGATAATATTTCATAAGAGAAAGTCACCAATCCTAAGCTTAAAGACAATTATTTTATCTTCTTTATTCTTTATGTCATACCCACACAGATACACACAATCACAACTAAAATCAGACTATGTCCTATCCAGTGATGAACAATTAACCTATTGGGTGGCAGCTGTGGCAGAGACCTAGGTTTCAATGTAATTCTGCATGACTCAGGGCACCTTACTCATGTTTACTGAGACTGCTTCCTCATTCATAACACGAGCACAGTACTTACTTTACAGAGTAGCTGTAAAGAGTAAATGATATATGCCATAGCTTATAAATAAAAAATTATAAGACATTCTTAGCATTATTTTTCAATTGAAACAGAGCTTTTTGCTAACTCTCTTAGGAGACATTAGAAAAGATACAGTACTACCATGTTACATAATACTCCTAGAAAGGCATCATTTCCATCATATTCTATATAAATGACTGGTAAGATGGTATGTCTTACCAGTTCTTAACAATAAACAGGGTCTTAATGGAGTTAGGAGTCCTGTGAATATGCAATTTGTGGAATTAAATACTTGTAAAATCAAAAGCACATCATCTATAATAAGTAATGCCAATAAAATGACTGATGCTTTATTTTAATAAACAAGAAGAGTATAAACAGGATTCTAATTAACTCTAAGTGCTATTACTCTTTTCTACCTCCTCCACAGCTCTCATCTCTACTTGCTCTCACTAAAGTCTTTCAGTTGATTCTACAGTTACAATATGTTTGAGGAACACCTATATCTAAAAGAACAGCAATGGTTTAGATTATTAATTTTTCTTCCAGAAAAGTTTGTATATGAACTTGATTGTTTGCAAGTATATACAAAAAGAAAGGAGAGAAGAAATAGTTTAGAAGATATTTGGAAAAAGAAGTAATATGAGGGCCAGGCACGGTGGCTCACACCTGTAATCCTAGCACTCTGGGAGGCCAAGGCAGGAGGATCGCTTGGGCTCAGGAGTTCGAGACCAGCCTGAGCAAGAGAGAGACCCCATCTCTACTAAAAATAGAAACAAATTAGCTGGGCAACTAAAAATATATAGAAAAATTAGCCAGGCATGGTGGCGCATGCCTGTAGTCCCAGCTACTCGGGAGGCTGAGGCAGGAGGATTGCTTAAGCCCAGGAGTTTGAGGTTGCTGTGAGCTAGGCTGACGCCACGGCACTCTAGCCCAGGCAACAGAGCAAGACTCTGTCTCAAAAAAAAAAAAAGAATATGAGGCTGGAACAAAAAAACTACATGATTTATTGGGACTCTCACATGTAGACAGCATCTAAGAGTATCTCCTGCCTAAAACTGTCAGCCGTCACAACACTAATCTGTTAACACCATTCCTGCTATAGACACAAGGATAAATAGCTATGGAAGTGATAAACCAAGCTAAAGCAATCACGAGGAACTAAAAGAGAAGAGTTGACAAAGGAAATGGGAGAAATACATGGGAGAAAGGATGGGAGTAAGGAAAGTGGCAGAGAGACCATCATTAGGAAAAATCAAACAAAAAGGTTAAACCCTTTGAGTCCACAAAATCTTATTGAACACTTGCTCAATAAATCAGGTACAATCTAGGTCTAAGAAATACAGAGATGAAAAACAAATATCCCTCCCAGTTTAGTGAGTTCATTTCCCTTCCAGTCCAATAACCATATTGGGTACCAATAAGAGGAACTCTTACATGACAGTTTACAGTGGTGAACACAACAAATATTGTGGTCCCTTCCTTCAGAGGGTTTGCAGTCTAGTGGTGAAAATTAACTTGTAATCAACTTTAATACAGTGTAATCAAGGTTATTTTTAAAGTGTTAGACAAAACCCAGGAGAAAAATCAATAAATTCTGGCAAAAGATGAATAAAGGGAAGGCACAGAAGCGATAGTTGAGGAAGATTTCACAGAATAGGTTACATTTAAGCTAGGTTTGGAATTTTCCAGATACAAATGAAACTTTTCTAGATGCCAAGACATTGTACACTGGGAAGAACACTGATCTGGAAATCCAGACTCTGATTATTAAGTAGCTGTGACCTTTTAAGACAACTAACTGTTTTCTAAAAGAGGTTTTGACTTGATGACTTCTTCCAATATTAAAAATTTCAGCTAGTGTCTCAAATACAATGTACAGGGATAGTCTAAATCAGGGGTTAGCAAATTATGGCCTGCAGACCAAATCTGGCCTACCACTTATTTTTGCAAATAAAACTTTACTAAAATACAGCCATATCTATATGTTTACATATTGCTATCTATGGCTGAGTTGAGTAGTTACAACAGGGACCGTACAGCCAGGAAAGTGGAAAATACTTATTATCTGGCCCTTAAGAGAAAAAGTTTGCCAATTCTTGGTCTAAATATAAAATAAAGTATACTTTATACTTAGAAAAGAGAGTCAAATATATACTTATATATACATATAGGTTCTTTAGAAAAAATATTCACATCATCATTTTGCATTAAAATACCTACAAGACAATTCTATATAATACTATGTAAAATGCTTATTGTACCATCTACATGTGGATAATTAACAAATATTTTTAATTAAAATAATGATTTAAGAAGACCAATGGGTAATATAGGAATAATAATACTACTTATAAAGAAATATGCTTTGGCATTGTTTTGATAGGAGTTTTTATTTCAGTGTTTGTCCAAACGAACTGTCAGTCTCTACCAAGACTGCAAACCACTTCCTCTTAAAGCAAATCTTCATGACACGGAGAGACCTACAGAAAGCTGTTCACTTTTGCAAACAGTATATTTTTAGACAATGGCAATAATTGGATTTTTTTAATGAATGCTTATTTTTTTACTTTTTTTTTTAGGCTGCTGGCTGAAGTCTTATATATTTTTTTTTAGAAAATCAATGTAAAGAATATGCTTCCAAAGCATCTATATATATGCTTTTGAGATCTAAGTTTCAAGTAGCTAAGAATCAGTAAATTATGTCATATTCTGATCTGAAATAACAAGCATTATTGATATTATGGCAAAAACAATAAAATCAACAGTAACAGCAGACATCTAAATTGCAGAAAAAAAAGACTAAAGCAAAATCTACTAAGAAATATCATTTATGAAAGGAACACATTTTCATATTCAATCATGGATTCCACAGAAGAAATATGATGCCATAGACAGGGCATTAGAAGAAAATTATTTCACTAACTGGAGAAAAATACTCACTTGTTTCACATTTTCAGCTAAGAAGACAATATAAACACTACAGAATCCCAGCTGTGTTATCACAAGAAAAAAATCAACCACAGTCCTGGAAAAAGATATATCCAAAAATGAGTACCAATCAGAGCTGCTGAAATATTAATACATTTTATATCTCTTTTTAACTGTTTTAAAATATTTTATAACACCACATATTCTTTTGCTTCCTTAAATAAGAAACATTTAAAATATTTATTTTCTACAAAGATCACACATTTATCATCAATATGTCACTAGAATTATTACAGAACAAAAGGATTCTCCATTAAGTTAAAAGGCCAAGATTTTTTCATCATCTTCCATTTCTGAAATTCATCAGTTTAAGGATATCAGCTTATAAAATCATTTCATAAAAACATTTCATCTTTCAGATTAAGCCAAACTCTCCTACTTTTCAAGATCTTTTTAGATCAACCCAGTATATTTCCCAACCCTCCCAAATTCATGTCATCTACAAATATGATGAGCATGCTTTCTAGCATCCAAATCACTAATAAGAATGTGGAATGGAAGAAGATTTGGAAGAAGATTTGGCCCTAATTCATACCAGGAGAGACCTCTCCAGTGGCTTTTCTATGTTCTTATTTTTTTTAGTGAGACACAGGCAGCCTCTGTGGGTTCTGTATCCATGGATTCAACCAAATGCAAATAGAAAATATTCAGAAAAAAAATTCCACCAAGTTTCAAAAGCAAAACTTGAATCTGCCACACACTGAGTACTACATTGAATCCATGGAAATGAAGTGATATGCAGGCATTGTATTAGGTATTATAAGTAACGTAGACAAGATTTAAAGTCTACAGGAGGGCATACATAGGTAATATATCAATAGTGTACCATTTCATATGCAGGACTTGAGCAACCTTGGATTTTGGTATCCACAGGGGGGTCAAATCCCTCATGTATACCAATGGATGACTGTACTCTAGAAAATTCCAGCTACATAAAATAGGGTATACAGGAGTAGGGAAGAGATATCATCAGAGACATCAGTCAAATTAGCATTATTTGGGTATGGCAGTAATCAGTTATAAATCTGCCTACATGATGTTAATATACAGCCCAGACTTCTTCATTTCGGTCTGAGAACAATGAGTGACTACTATAGCATGCACATACTAATCCCTTATAATCTCTTGTGTGACCATGTGTCAATCTGTCAAACACTGTGGTCTACAAAATCTATAGTCCCCGCTTCTCCTATTTGAAGTTGGGATCAGTATGCCTATCTTTATTCTTGCCATAACTCTACCATTCTCCATGGTTCTTCAGGGATCTCATTTGTAAATTATCTTGGTACCCTGAAATGAACTCAAGTCTCTTCTCCTTGATGAACTGCATTTAAGTATTCCCTTAATATGTCTTCATCCACCTTTGATTTTAGTGTCCCCCCAGCAATCATTCCAGCCAGTTTTATCTGAAAGCCATTCTTCTTCATAGAACAAGTAGACAAAGATGCCTCTAGTCTGGGCCAGAAGAAAGAAGAAGATGCAGTTCTGGGTTCTGGGCGCAAGTCCCAAGAGCATTAGGTTCTGTTTCCTTCCTTTTCCCACTCAGCATATCAGGAGCTCTGAGCAGCTCATAAACAAATATAACCTTCTAAAAATCCCCTGCAAGGCCGTATTTAATCACAAACCCATCTACCAACACTGTTCTTTCACTTCTTTCAATTCCCACCTCACGTATCATTTGTACCACAGTTAGCACTTGATTTACTTACACTTCCTTGTTTTTCTAGTCTTGTGTCTATCTGACTTTGACTAGCCAATGCCACCAATGATAAAGTTATATTTAAATAACAAGACAATACAATAAAGTTATGCTAAAATATATCCGTATCTCAGATGTCTTATGAGAGCGTGACTAAACTCCACCAATTTGTTTGAAATACTGAGACTGCAACATTTGTTTTGCTTTTTTCCTTTATTTAAAAAATTACTGAACATCACTATGTCATTGGTTGTCCAGGTACTCTATAAATATAATTTTATTTAATCTACCATAATAATCCTATGAAATGGATATTATTATAAACTCACTTCACAGTGAAAAAACCAAGCCAAAATGAATAATAATTTGACCAAGGTCATAAAACTGAAAAATGATAGAGTTGAGATTTGAACCTAAAGCCTGCCTAACTCTAAAGTTTTTTATGTTTATTCCTCAACTTTATCATATTTTTATTTACATATCTTGTCAGATTAAAATACTTAAAAATTAACATAATTTTGACAATCAGATATTAGTAACATAGCAAGTACTTACCGTCCCCATGCTGCTTGCTTCTGAAGACAACTCCAAGGACTTACTTCCAGAGCAAAACTCACAGTGTCACTATAACCTAAGGTTGATTTTTTATACCTATAATTTAATGATATTCATACAAAGGAAAAAGAAAAATTTTAATTTGGTTCATAAAGCCATCCCTTGAAAAGAACAACAAGTGAATGGGAATTAACAAATGTAGGGCTATGCAATGACAGATAAGCTTTCAAAATTTCAAGACCCACATGCTTCTAAAGCATGCCTCATTAAATTTTAATAACTGTCCTTTTTACCAGAATATTAATTTTTATCTACTGCTAAAGTTTATATAACTATAGAATTCAAAAATATACCTAATATTTGTGCATGATAGATTTAAATATTTCAAATACCCAAAAACATCACCAACTGTTAATACATTGTTCATGTCTAAATTATTCCATTCTGCCTTTTTTAAAAATACATCTACAGGGCTCTACAATACATTTCCACATAAACTATCTCATTTAATCTTCAAGACAGCCCCATGAGGTAGATATTACTTCTGCATTCCCTCTTTCTCTCTTTTGTAAAGTATGTATTGTCACTTAAAGATCATAAGTGATTTACCCAAAGTTTTAAGAGCAAATAACAAAAATAAAAAAGGTCAAGACTAGATATTGGTCTAATAGAATAGGCAATATTATTTTTTAAAAAAAAGTTGGTGTATTATCCAATAGAAGTATTTCATGATACAAAAATAAAGAAAAAGTATTATTTTAATGACTATCTGCCTCTAACCCATATACCAGTAAAGAGTACCAGAGACGTTATACCCCAAACTGAATTACTGATAAATTGAAGACCATTATGCCACAACTAAAAGTTGTATCACTGCCTCCACTGCCTCTATACATCCTTCCTGATTTTTTCCATTTATACTAAATAAGAGAAACCTTCTATTTCACTAATAAGACTACCTCTTAAAAACAATAGATTCTAACCAGATTTAAATCATGAAATGCTACCTTTTTTCATATTCATTATCTTAGACTTGTCTATGTAATAAAGGAAGTACAAAGCACAGTGGAAATATAAGACTATCTGATGCTCTAAATAAATCTATAGCTTTAAAATAAATTAAATAGGCTTAACAAATCCACATTTACCTCTGACATAGAAAGTGACTGCAACGTACCAATATGTGCATACAGTGAACAGAAATAATTCCTATAAACACAAGGCTGATTGGTCCAAGCTGTGGGGAAGAAAATTTATAAGGTTTAAATATTTAACAAAAATTGAGTAACTTTATAAGCAATGAGTCAATGGATTACTCTTTTGCAGTGAATCAATATTTGTTGGGCAAAATGATTAAATAATCATTTGAATAGGGAAAACTAATAAACTTGATACAGAATGAATTTTAAATCATATTTAAGCCAAGTAGGTATGATTCCACCTTATCGACTTGGCTACCCAAACTTATAATACAAAGTATAGACATGCAACAAAGTAGAATAGAATACGTCATATTTAATATCAGATGGCAAGTCTACAACTATCGGTGTCCTTCCATTATATGTAACTATGCATCATTATCTAAATGACTAAAAAGCACAGTATCAGACTGGGATTGTGAGCGATCGACTTCTTCTACAGACTGCTTATTGAGTACTTACTATGTGTCAGAAACTGTGATTAGAAAATAATTATTTCAAAAAGTGGTACATAAAAGATTTCAAGTATTTATTTACTAAAATTAAA